CTCTCTCTCTCTCTCTCTCTCTCTCTCTCTCTCTCTCTCTCTCTCTCTCTCTCTCTCTTTTCATCATGCATGTGCTCACTCTCTCCCTCTACTCTCTCTACCTCTCTCTACTTGAGGATCTAGACTCTGAATACATCCGCCACTACTCAGGTCTACCTCTCGACTACTAGCTGAGCGGCTATGGCCGCCTTCCCTCCTCACCACAGCGGTGCCCAGCAGGGCTCTCGCAAATAGCGCACGAGCGCTTCAGCAGCACTTCCACACTTCTCACAAATGAGCAATCGCCCTGAAATGTGGCTGGCCAGTCCTTATATTGACTTGGACTTCGCCTGAACTCGTCCCAGCCTCTGCTTCCTTTGGCATGACTTGGTACTGGTACCGCATGCCCACGGCCTGTTTGCTTCAGAATGTCGAGGCCTGGTACCTGCCTGAAATTTCCCCTGGTGTGCTGCCGCTTCGGCCTGTTGAGTCCCGACTTTTCATCTGTGGGATATACCTCTTTGCCTATGAAACATGACCTTTGCCCGTAGAATACGTCCTTTGACTTTGAGACGTGACTTTTGCCTGTGGGATGCGACTTTTGCCTTTGGGATGTGACTGTTGAACGGGCGCCTGTTGCACTTGACCTCTGGGGCACCCGACTTAACCTTTCTGAAACTGCCGACTCGGCCTCTTTTAGCCTGGGAAGTGGAACTTGACGCCGAGATTCGAATTTGGGGTCTTCACCGTGGAATGCCTTACAATAATGCGATGAGTTGACATTTTGCACATTTGTTTTGGGATGATTGTACCTTGGGACACTGGGCCCGGTTCCCCGCACATGCTGCTCCCCCACGAATAGACTGCAGCCTTCTCAATGGTGGAGGACCGTGGACAGCCCAGGGGTATCTCTGGGCGGTGGACGAAGACCAGGATGCTTTTTCGAATTTCAACACCAAAAAAAAAGAGAAAAACATCCACATTTATCTTGAATCACTAGAACAGTATGACCTGAAAAGGCACGTGCATTTGCATGCGCATATGTGGTTTTATGTGTATGCGATGATCAAATCGAGTGTTGTTCTTGTTGGTCTATTGCAGGCTTGACCTCACAGCTGGAGCTAGAGGAGGGGGAGCCGGCTGTCGGTGAAAAGAAGGCATCATTCAATGGTGTGTTCTTGTTGTTGCTTATCAACATTGGCTTGTGCATCATTGACCATGCACTCAAGGTAACTCTAAAGGCTACAGACCAAAGACTAAATTGCAAATGCTAAAGGCTCCAAAGAGTAGATAGCAGATACTAGATACACTTTTTTTTTTTGTTTTGTTTTGTTTTGTTTTGTTTTGTTGGGCAAAAGCAAGCAATCCTTTGTTCATGAAACATGAGGCCGGGAATTCCTCACAAACAACCCGGAACATACACAATCTCAACACAACGAGAGATGGTTAAACCAGGGCCCGAATATTTGCCATTTTTGCCGGCAATTTCGGTGCAAAATTCTGCGAAATTTTTCAAAGACAAACAATATGGGCTCATGGTGCAAACATCAAAAAAAAAAAAAACAGGCCAAAATCGAACAAAAAAACAAAAAAAATTTAAAAACACTATAAAATCCTAACACAAAACCACTTTCCGAGGTAAAATGAAGTGTCCAACGAATTTTACGAAATACCAACTTGTTCAATATTTATCCAAACATGTTGAAACTGGACACATGACGTACCCTAATGCACATATATATCACACAAAACGCAAAACAAGAAAAATAGCAAAAAATCAGCACAATATGACAGTTTCGGTGCAAAATTCACCGACGTTAACACCCCTAGTTAACAGTGCTGGGTAACACTGCCCCCTGTGAACACAACACAGTGCTGAGACCATTACCCAGCTTAGGTTAGCGGGACTTAGCCCGACGACTCTTGGGGCACAAAATACTGCAAGGAAAATGAGCGATAGCGAATTCCAGAAACCAAGCAGCATCATACACATGAAACCAGATAGTCTTGACCGGGAACTAAAAGCAGAATTGCAACTCGAGTTCCACCAAATAAGAGCACAGCAAAAGCTCACAAGTGACAATGCTGGAATAGTCTCATCATCATCAACAATGAACCAATGTTGAATTCCTATCTGGCGCTCGGCACCCAGACTACGAATGGCAGATCCTATCTAGCCTATCTACAATGCCGCTGGTGACGTCAACAGCTTCCCGGAGTACGAGCAAATCTCGGCCAATGCCGTTCGCCTCAAGCACCAGGTATGTCTCATGCCTCACTCACAACCTCGATCACCCACACAGATGCCACATGCACCCAAGGACCACCATGCGCCCCATCCAGCATCTCGCAGGCCAGCTCCGCTATAGCTGCCTGCGTGTGCCCTGCTCACCCGTGAGCGCGTGGGCACTTGCTTGCCGATAGCGCAGCAGCGCTTGCACAGCATGTAGGAAGTGCCCCAATGTCGAGCCCACAGCCAGGCCCTTTCCTATGTGGAATGAGGCTGCCAGTCGTGGCTGCCTGGCTGGCCTGGACCGCCCCACGGAAGCTTTCGGTAGGCCCCAAGTGGCTGAGCCCCTGTCCCAGGGAATCTCCCACAGGGCCTGGGGTGGTTACCCGTGCCCAACTGCCAGCGGCCTGTTTTCAGCTCGTGCCCCCGTGCCTGGCCCAGGGCCTGCCTCGATACATTTGGAAAAAGGCAGGCAGGGCCTGGGCTCACTCAACCAACTGGCGCTGCGCAACTGCCTGAATTTCCCAGCTGCGTCCAACCCCAAAATAGGCCTCTCGTCCCTTGTCAGGCCCGCCTTCACTTAGGGCGGCCGTTCTGGCTGAAACAGGGCCCAGTAGGGCTTACCGAGGCCTTGAGCCTCGCAATACTAGAAACTAAGTAGTAAATAGTAAATGCCAATGGTAAATAGTAAATTGTAAATAGTAAATAGTAAATAGTAGATGGTAAACACTAAATAGTAGATACTACCAATGGGCCTCGCTCAGTTGGTACACCCACGAACTGTTGAAATACAGATGCAGATTTGAATCCAGATGCAATGAACAACAACAACAAAAGAAATGCGAGATGCAAAAATTAAGTTAATTAAGTTAATTAACGAAATACGAAATACTAAGAACCAGAGCTCACTCACTGGCTGTAACTGTTCCAGGCCAACTGGAACAGCTATAATGACCGGACGTTCTATTCGGGTGAAGACGGTAGTTATCCATCCATGCACGTCATCATGGCAATGTCACTGGTAATCAAGCCGAGGGATGTTGTAGTGTGCTAGAGTGGCATGAACATAGATTGAATGCAGGCCAGGTTCATCCTGGCCTCACATAAACGAAAGGATGCTGACTGCACAAGACTAGCTTATGCCAGGCTCGCATACCAAAGAACCGAAAGGGCCTCTAGCCTAACAAAAACTTAAGGCTGCTGTCTGTACTAGAGTATGGCATGCCAAAGAACTGAAAGGGGCTATAGCAATAGTCAGACACAGGTGGGAAAGGACTAGGCGCCAGGGCTGGTCCCCGGATGGATCGGGGACCCCTACGGTCCTACCCCATCCGCGGTCCTCCCGGTTGGACCGGCAGGTGGCCCCGGCCGGTTCCCTCCCAGTTGCCCCCAGCGCATTTTCGCTGGGGCCTGAATTTTTTTTTGCTGGTGCGTATGTGTTCCCGAGGCCTCGTGGGGGTGGGCCCTGCCCCGCAATTTCGAAACCGGGTCCTGTAGGCCCGGATTTTTCAAGTCCAAAAAGTGGCCGATCTTGGCCGCCAATCGTCGCAGATCAGCGGCAAAGATCGGCCAGGAGTCCCAGGAGCCCATTTCGTAAGAAAAACGGGCAGAGGATATCCGCCGCTGATCTTTGCAGATCGGCAGCAGAGAGCCACTGTGGGTCGGGTAGGCCCCTTCTCCAATTTGTCATCTTGTGGTCCAACGGACAGTTACCATTGCAAACATCTGATGCTCTTTCACCCTCAGCGACGAGGGGAACACTATGCTTGTGATGAGGCTGTGCTGAGATTATATCCTTCTGCGACGTCCCTGCCATCTGTGGAAAAAGTTATGGGTCCGGATTTTGGAATCGTGATGTCAGAGCCGTCCGAGGTGCAAGCCCAAGAATTCTCTCTATCTATCTGGAATGGACCTTGCTCCACTACATGTATCTGGACAGACTGCCAGGCAAGATACTTCCGGACTGATAACTCACCTTATGTAGAAACCAACAAACAGAAAACGCTCTGCCTCCACGAGCTGAAAGCTGGAACCATAACTCTTCTGCTGTCGAGTTATACTCTGGAAGAGCTATAACTTCTGGCAAGGACCTGCTCTCATCATATCTGGTTCAGCTCGTGGGGTATTAATATCAAATGACACACTCCACCAAGTGCTCCAGCCACGGGGGGGGTCAGATAAGTGAACTTGCTTACTTGACCCCTCCCCGTGGAAGCCATAATTGCCTGAATATGTCAATAATAACCCCCTGCCCCCCTCTGGAAGCTCCCTGAAAAATATTGCACCTTGAAAATTTTATTGCGGATTCGGACAGCGCTTGAAGAGCGCAGTCGGAATCTGCGCAAACAAAAATAAAAAAAAACTACAAAAAGATATTTGGGCACTTTTTTTTTTTCAAAACTGGTTTCCCGGTCCACCCCCCCTGGGCTGGTCCGGCTCCGGTCGGACCGGGGTAGCTCAACCGTCCGGTTGCCGGGCCAGCACTGCTAGGCGCTCTACTACAAGACGACCCCTTATGGGCTGTACAGTGCCGTACATCCACCCCTTTTATTTATGAGGGATGGGCAGGGAAGCAAGTTGTTCTGGTGTGTAAGTCCTGTGCAGAACACAGGGTCTGCATATGGCAGGCACTCGGTTGGTGATGTTGAGCAGTGGCATGGAGTCCATGGACAACTGTGCTATTGTTTTTTTTTTCAGACTACTGTCTTCTCCCAAAGGAAATTATAACAAGATCATGAATGTATACGTGCAACGTTTCTGGTCCATACGGACATTATGAGGGCACGTTGAGTTTTGGGGACACAGTTGTGTAAACCTGTTCTGCCCCCAGGTAAGCAGGCAGTTGGGCTTTCATGGTCTGAAAGTCTGGAACATGACATGACAAACAAACAAACAAACAAACAAACAAACAAACAAACAAACAAACAAACAAACAAACAAACAAACAAAAAAACAAAACAAAAAAAAAAAACAAAAAAAAACATGACATAGCTGCCGTAGAGAGTTACCTCGTTGGGGAAATGAAGCGAAGTAATCTGCAGACTGTGCTTTGTTTGTTGTGTATTAAACTGTATTTACTATTTTGGGTCGGTTTTGGTTGTGGGTTTTGGTTAGGGATGTGGTTGGGGTTTGGTTGGGTTTGGTTGGCCAAGACTTGGATGGGTTGTCGCGATGTCTCGGTTAGGTTTTGGTTGGGCGTCGGTTGGTTTTTGGCTAGGTTTTTGGCTAGGTTTTTGGTTAGGTTTGGCAGAGCTGTGGTTGGGTTTTGGTCAGGCTGTGGTAGGGATTTGGTTGGGATTTGGTTGGGATTTGGTTGTGTTTTGGGTAGGTTTTTCGATAGGTATGGTAGGGCTGGGTTGAATTTTGGTCAGGCTGTGTTTGGTTTTGTTGTAAGGTTTCGGTAGATATTTTCTGGTTTTGGTTCTTGTTTGGTTTTGGGTGGCTTTTTTTTGTTGAATCTTATTGACTCAGGGTTGGGTTCGTCCGAATGGGTTTGCTTTGCTTTGCTTTGCTTTCCTTCGACTTTCCTTGTTCTGGGCCTGGTGCTTTCTCCACTTGAGCCCTGCAGTTTCTGTTAAAAACACAAATGATGACAATGGCATGCTGTATGATATCCCCCTAGTGCCGTCTCCTCTGTGTATATATGGTCCTTTTCGTGCAGAACCAAGCAGTGCTGCTCCTCTGCACCTCTGCCTATGCTGTGTCCTCTGCAGYYRRCTGCAGAGGACACAGCATAGGCAGAGGTGCAGAGGAGCAGCACTGCTTGGTTCTGCACGAAAAGGACCATATATACACAGAGGAGACGGCACTAGGGGGATATCATACAGCATGCCATTGTCATCATTTGTGTTTTTAACAGAAACTGCAGGGCTCAAGATAACAATGTTTTGGAGAAAGCACCAGGCCCAGAACAAGGAAAGTCGAACGGTAAAACGTAGGCAGAGAGAGAGAAGAGGACAACAAACGAGGGGCTATACATGGTCATTATCCTGCTAAAGCAATGGAAGCTAGCAATCAAACCTACCAAGTTTGATAGACCTGCGAATCTCACATGTTTGCTGATGTGCATGTTCAAGGTTGTTGTGTACCAAATTTGGTCTCATTTGGAGCATTGGAATTTCCTCTGATAAGAGTGTTTCCAAAAACGCTGAAAATTCTGAAAATTCGCTGAATCCAAA